GGATAGACAATAAGACAGAAAATAGCCTATTGCCACTATCTCAAGCCATGGTGTCCCCATACCTTGAATACCACTTTCAATTCTGGTCACCCCATCTCAAAAAAATATATCAAAATTGGAAAAGGTACAGAGACGGGCAACAAAAATGATTAAGGGGATGGAACAGCTTTTATAGGAGGAGAGATTAAGAAGACCGGGACTTTTCAACTTGCAAAAAGACAACTAAGAGGGGATATGATTGAGGTCTGTGAAATCATGACTGGTGTGGAGAATGTGAATAAGGAAATGTTATTTACTCCTCCACATAACACAAGAAGTAGAGGGGGGGGGGTCACCAAATAAAATTAACAGCCAGCAGGTTTACCACAAACAAAAGGAAGTATTTCCTCACACAACACGCAGTTAACCCGTGGAACTCATTGCCAAGGGGTGTTGTGAAGGCTAAAACTATGCAAAAAAGAAGTAGCTAAGGTCATAGAGCATAGGTCTAGCAATGGCTTTTAGCCAGGATGGTCAGGGATGCAACCCCATGCTCTGGGTGTTCCTAGCCTCTGACTGCCAGAAGCTGGGAGCGGACAACGGGATGGATCACTTGATCGCCTGTTCTGTTCATTCCCTCTGAAGCATCCGTTGTTGGCCACTATCAGAAGACGGGATACCGGGGTAGACGGACCATTGGTCTGATCCAGCATAGCCATTCTTATGTTCTGATGTTCATCCCTTAATCACTGTGCAGAGCAACATAAAAATTTGCTCTAGCAGTTATAGTCCAAAGATATAGCAGTAGAACTACTGAGAGAAAGAGATTAGAGAGGGTGGTATATATTGTGATAGACAGAGGAGGACATATTGAGATAGATGGATAGACAGGTAGATATGGGGATAGATGGATGGATAGGAATAGGTGAATGAATGGATGCATGAATATGGATGTATGGGGATGGATGGATGGACGGATACATGTGGAGACAGAAGGAGAGCTAGACCAACAGCTTCATTGTGGTGCATGCATCTGCCTGTCCATAGCAGTTTAATTTGGTGTTATGTTCTTTGTGTGTTTGCTATGGGGATGAATTTTAGCAGTGTGTCTCCTGGGTAGGCCACAACAGCTCCCAGCAAGGGGTGTCTGAGTAGTAAGCAAGGGCTTTCTCTGGCAGATGTGTCCTGGGCAGCTAGCATCCCTAGCTGTGAGAAGGGTAGTGGTGGGGCCTTTGGAAAGGACGAAGAAATTGGCTGGCTCCACTACAGAGAAGCCGGCTACTTCTAGAGGTACGGGACTTATGAGGAGGATGGACAAAGTGGCTGTGTGCTTGGCATCCTGCTGGGAAGAAAGGAAAAGGTTGAAAGGCGCAGACAGGGCCTATGACTCAAAGTCACAGCCACAAAACACTGACCTCGGTAAAGAAGTTGTCTAGATGCCAGTCCACTCATGGGGGTTTTGCACAGTTTTCGCTTACGGGAAGTTGAGTTAATGCTTCCCTTTATTGTTTCTCTGCCTCCCTCTTAATTAGATCTTGTGGTGATATTACTATGAGACTGGGGCCCCATTGTGCCAGGCGCTGCACAGACACAGAGTAAGGGCATGAATGCACTACAAGCGCTTCAACGGCACCACTGCAGAGCTGCACCTTCACCTCTGTAGTGTCCCAGTGTAGACACTCACTACCACAATGGTAGGGGGGTTTCTGTCACTGTACTAAATCCACCTGCCCAAGAGGTGGTAGCTAGGTTGGCAGAAGAATTCTTCCGGTGACCTAGCAGAATCTACAGTGGGGGTCAGGTTGACCTAACTACAGCACTTGGGGTGTGAAATTGCTCATAGCCTGGAGCGACATAGCTAGTTCAACCTAAGTTTTAGTGTAGGCCAGGCATCAGAAACAGTCCCTGCCCCGAAGACCTCACAATCCAAAGACAGACAAAGGGCAGGAGAAGGAAAGGGTTGTTGTCCCCATTACGCAGAGGTGAAGCATGGGGCAGATTTCCGCACATATCCTGTGGCTCCCGCTGTGCTGAGCTGTTCTGAAAATCAGACCTCTTCTTTGTGTCTCACAGGCGGAGCTCTTTTGAAAATGGCCATAAATCGCCCAGCCCAACTTGCCCAAGTTTATGGCAGAGGTGGGAATTGAACCCAGCTTTCCTGTACCTTAAGCACAAGACCATCCCTGCTCAAATGTAACGATGGGACCCACTGCTGCAACATGCCGGACCCCCTCAGTTTCTAGTGAGGTTAATGGCTGCTGAGAGCTATTAGCACCTGAGACCAGTTCTTTGGATTTCACGGCTATTACTGAGAACAAATCTTGCTGGCTGTTCCAATGACTCTGCTTTCTAGGGGAAGAGGGAGAACAGGTGGGGCAGGGGATAAACTGCCTCACAGATATCCAATGTCATACAAGACAGGCTTAGAAAGGTTGAAGTTGCAAAGCGGAGAAGTGTCACAGCTAGGCAAGTCGCCACAGTATAAGCAGCATCGTTCAGCAAAGCTCTCTTAGGGTCCATCTACAGTGCATGTTAACCCAGGTGTGTGGGACCCCCAGGCTTGTGGACTCAGTGTTCCCAATCCCATGTAAACCTGAGTTTATAGTTGCTGGACCCAGGTTTCATGGCCATGCTAATGTGTCTGTGCTACGCAGACCTTCTGACTCGGGTCTGTGGCTTAAGCTGCATCCACACTGCAAAATGACAGGGCTTGAACCCCAGTCACAGGGGGACTCAGGCTGTGATCCTCCTCCCCGCAGCATGGTCCGAGGACCTGGGTCCTGAGTGCTTGCTGACCCAAGACTGGCCGATTTGTGTGTAGCCAGAAGGTGCGCCTGGACTCAAACTTGAGTCAGAGCTTGGGCTTAGGGTGCAGTGTAGATGTCCCCAGTCAGCCTGATCCAATTCCCATTGATGTCACTGGGAGCCTTTCCATTGACCTCAGTGGGCACTGGATAGGCTGCATGGTCAGCAAATGAGGCTGTAGCTTGCTCTCAGTCAGCTCAGCTGCACTGGTCTGTCTTTTGTTGAGAAAAGAATTGGGGAAGTAAAGTTCTCCTTGCTTGTGCACACATTGTTTACCAGGAAGCAATTGGATAAGCTGCTGCTGGCACGTACCAGCATGGCAAGATCAATGCTGCAAAAGCTTTTTGGTAGTTGCCATCTGCTAGGGTGACGAGATGGCAAGTGTGAAAAATTGGGACGGGGGTGAGGGGTAATAGGAGCCCATATAAAAAAAGCCCCAAATATCAGGACTGTCCCTGTAAAATTGGGACATCTGGTCACCCTATGTGACCTGCCAACGTGGTGGAGCATGAAAGACAAGCCATAAATAGACCATTGTGTTTCATGATACAAAAGCACCTGCAGTCCACATAATGGCAAATGTGCAGTCTTGTACAACAGCCTTGTAACCCAAACTGATCCTAAAGAATTAGCAAAGTCCCAAACTCTGCCTGTTCTCAGAAAGGTGGGGATTTGCACATGGGCACACCTTTATTTTAAGCTCTGTACTGCATTGCTAGTGTGTTATAACTGCCAAACTTAAGTGTTCAAAAATCCTGAGTCAAGCCTCCCCCCCCCCAAATCAAGAGATTGGTTTAGCAATTGCTTCACGTTTCCAAGTTTTCTCTGCAACCAGAAGGGGTAGAAACTTTTTTTTTTTTTTTTTTTTTTAAATAAAGGCAAATTGATATTTTCCCCACAATCTCTTGATTCTAGTAGCTGGGACTTTAAGAAAAAAAAACACTAAATATCGTGAGACAAATCCATGAGAGCTGGCAACACGGTAAATTCCTAGGTAGCACATGCAGAATGAGTGACTCTTTCCTTAGCTACATTATAACTATACAGAAAACAGATAGTTAAACTAAGAGCTTGAAAATTGAGAACAGAATCATTCAACCAACAATACACCTCATCAATAATTTATGAGCGATAATCAATGATGAATCTAGCATGCAAAATACGCCAGGCCCTGGACAAGGACGGTCCCCATTCTGAAGGGTTTACCATTTAATTTTCTAATTTAATAATTAGAAATATTGCCTGCCATCCCGCATCAGGATAAGACAATGTGGCCCCTTGTACACAAATCCAGACACACCAACATCAACTGGGTACAGAGATCCCAAGAGCTGGGGCATAATTAATAATATTCTATTTTATCTTTCTGGATGGCTTACACTAGTAAATGAAAGAGTTCACCATAATCAAGTATCATAAGCAACATGATGCAGGAAGCAGTGAAACACAAGAGATATGAGCCACACGCTAAAGAAATATTGTTATTCTGAAGTGCTCAGGGAAATGAGGCAATTGCTGGATTCCCAGGGCCCAAGTCACAGCCGCTGCTAATGGATTTTTGTTGTTGCCGTTATGACATTTTGTAAGACTTCTAACCTGTTGCAATGGGGCACAAGATATTTTGTAAAGCCCCTTTCGCTCCCATGGTAGAGTTCAGTTCCTACTTCTGCAAGTGCCTGGCCTCAGTAATACTTCGAACAGTTATGGAGAGGGTAGGAATCACTAGCCCCATTTTATAGATGGGCAAAATGCAGACACAAAACAGCGCAGTCACTTGCTGTCAGAGTGGCACAACCAGGATTAGGCCCTAACTCTCATGAATGTCCCTGCTAGGTCACAGTGCCTGGAGGACCCGCTAGACTCCCCATTAGGCTGCTCCTACCGGAAGGCGACCCTGACAGATGCTCAGGGACCAATGTGGAATGTCTCTGGTGTGTTGTAGCTTGTAGCACAAACCCCGCTGTCATTTCAGTGGCTGGCAGCCTCCACAGAGAAGGGGGACTGAATGAGTCCCAAAACCTGAACTGCCCTCTTTTGCCTAAAGGTAACTCCCTTCAGGCCTGGAGGTGGCACGCAAAGCTGCCCTGTATTGTAGCCCTTATGTCAGTGGAGGAGTTTGGCCTCCAGCCTGTATATATGATAAAGTCAGGCGGGCATTTTCCCTTCAAACACACAGCAAAGGCAATGGACAAACTCCCTTCCCAGCCCTCACTTACCGACTTTGTAGAAAAGGAGCAGAGTGAGCCATACACACCAAGGTGTTCCCATTTCTGTGCCGGAGCTAGGGCTGTTTCCCGTGGCTCGAACACTCCCAGGCTTCAGAGACAGCAAGCGTAGCCCCTTCCGCTTTCAACGGAAAGCACAGAAACCACAGCACTGCGCATGAATTTCTGGCTACATACTCTACTACTTCCGTGCTTTTCAAACTTTTTAGCCTCCGAGTGTGACCCCGTCCACCCCTTCTAAATTACCTTAAGTTAACGGGGGCTCGGCGCTGTCGGCCCCACATTGCTGACAGCCCGCGACCCCCATGTAACCACCTTGCGACCCCGAGGGGTCACGATCCCCCCGGTTCGAGAACCCCGGTGCTACCGCGTCAAAGCGACGCCTGTGCTCCAGAACCCCGGCAGTGGCGCGAGGATGGGGTGCGGCCGCGCACGGCAGAGCAAAGCTGGCGGCGGCCACACCGGGATGTGTAGCTGCACAAAAGTCTCGCAGGCTCTGGTGCGGGGGAAGGCAGCTGGGAACGGCTGAGCGCTGCTGAGAGTAGCGGCGTAGGCAGCCTGGTCTGGAAGGGAGCCGTGGATGGTATGGGTCTCGAGCTTTTGGGGCTCAGGACGCATTTGTAAATGTTTAGGGCCTATCGGCCCCCGAAAATAGTCTGGGGGTGGAGGCCCTGGGGTGGTTTCGGTCAGATCCCGGTGGGGGATGGGTCCTGCCCGGCATTCGCCCTCCAGGGGCGGCTCCGGCAGCTCCCGTGCTGTGGGGCTGGCCGCATTTCAAAATTTCAATTTTGAATTTTTTTTAAAAAAAAAATTACTTTTTTTTGGGGAAAACGAACAGGAAAGTAATTGGAACGAAACCACTTTCCACACTTGGAAATGTTCACAATTCATGCAAAATGTTTGTTGGTTGGGTCCGTTCATAACCAAGGGAAGGAGCAATGAACCCTATTGCCGTGGCACCAGGGCCATTCATAGTGAATCAGTGCTACAGCTATGAACCACTCAGGAGGACACTCTCTGCCGGATAGTCCTTACGGGAGTGGGCCGGAGTAAAGACTGGTGGTTTGTATTTGCTCAGTTACAGTATCGAAGGAGGGCTCATTTTGAGGGTGACATTTACTCTGTGAAATTCCAGAAGAATCCAAGAGAGAATGGGACAAGTCTTCTTGGGACAGGGCAGCAGTGCCTTGGCTGAGTTCTCTGTATGAACTGGTACCTCTTCTCTGCCAGGTAAACAGGACTCATGGATATTCTATAAACAAGTAGCACGTACCCCCGCCCTCACTGATTTCTGCTCCAAACAGGAAAGCCCCCAAAACCTACTATTGCTCAGCAAAGGGGCAACAATATTAGATCTGGACTCCCCTGGAAGTGTTCCTTTTAAAATGTGCTCGGACAAACTAGCACCTGGCTCCATCTCCCTTACACCGCTCTGGGCAGCTGGAACTTTTCCTGCCATAATGGGGCATTCAACGCAGGAGGTGTTCAACAATGAGAGAGAGTTCTACACCACCTGCACCCAACCCCGCCACACAGGGGGTCTTTTGGGATAGGGTGGGGCATGTGGCTGGAGGTAGGAGCCAGAAGGTGCTGTGCTCTGGCATTCCACGTCCGCTGAGTATTCCCCACAGGGCTGAGTTGCTGCCACAACCTTTGGTTCCCCCATCAGCCTGAGAATTAGAGAAGGGGATAGGTGGGTTAAATCCCACACACTGGATCCTGCTGATTTACTGTATTCATGACATTTTCCCAGTACTGCTTAGCTCAGAAGTAGCATCTGCTTCCCCACAAGGTTTTGGTTCCGTTAAGTAGGTGAATCAAATGACTCCGCCAGGATTACACAATGAGGCAGGCGTTCGGTTGCTCAGGGAAACCAGGTTCCTCTTCTCTTTCCTGTGTGTTTGTATCACGATCCATCATCCTCATTATTGTTTCTTGCTCTAGAACTACATGCCTTCGTAAACCAAAGTGAACTAAGCACACATTCCTACCCCGCTTTCTGACCTGGAGAATCCCAGGACTTGGTGTATACATTATATATTACTGATCCCTTCACCTACCTCACAACTGTGGCCAGCTGTGGTGGAGGACCTGAGTCAGGAAAGCCTAACACAATACAGCCACACCACACAATGGCACAAAGAAATGGTCTGTCTCCAGAGGAGACTGTAGGGAACTAGAATGCAACTACCCCCACTGGACTGCTCCACGACAGCCAGACTAGAACCCTGCTAGAAGTTCTATAGGATGTTTTATGATCAAGACAAGAGCAAGTCAAAAAATTTTCATCCAAACTGTTTTCAGTGAAAAGGGGCCTTTTCTCCTAAACAAAAATGTTTGCAGGAAATTTTAATTTCATTCAAAAAATTTATCTGACAAACTGGGCATTTTCTGGAAAAAATTAAGAAGCAAACAAAATGTAGTTTCTTTTGATATTTGCGTATGAGTAAAATACTTACGCTCTCCCCAACTAGTTCTAGGACCTTGTTTTTTTAAAAAAACCTCTCATCTGAAAGGCAGCATCTGCAGCAACCAGGAAACCCCCTACCAACATGCTAGTCACTGATCTTTGAATCACAAGCTTTCAGTGATATCCACCAATGGTGTCCAATCCAAGTACAGCTCAAGTCCAAATCTGCTTAGTTTATAATGTCAGGTCTAATCACATGGTGTGGTGATACACTAGCTAACTAAACTAGGAACAAAAACAAAGCATTCATGAATTGTATGGCAGGTTAATACTGTTCAGTTATTAGTTAATCTGGAAAATGAAAATTTACAAGGAGGAAGATGAGAGGAATGATGAGGAAGTGAGCAACAGAAAGGAGGGGAAGCAAAAAAGGAGAAATAGGCAGAATTTCCATATTTTTATAAAAACAACGAGAAGTCCGATGGCACCTTAAAGAGAAAGATTTATTTGGGCATAAGCTTTTGTGGGTAAAAACCCACTTCTTCAGATGCATGGAGTGAAAATTACAGATACAGGCATAAATATACTGGCACATGAAGAGAAGGGAGTTACCTGACAAGTGGAGAACCAGTGCTGACAAGGCCAATTCAGTCAGGGTAGATGTGGCCCACTCCCAATAGTTAATGAGGAAGCGTCAATACCAAAAGAGGGGAAATTGCTTTTGTAGTGAGCCAGGCAGTCCCTATTCAAGACCAAATTAATGGTGTTAAGTTTGCAAATGAATTGTAGCTCTGCAGTTTCTCTTTTAAGTCTGTTTCTGAAGTTTTATATTTTTATAAGCTTCTCCACGGGGGATGTCGGTGCAATATTGAAGCAAATCAAATACATTAATGAATGTCTCCTGGCAGCAGCCTGGGGAGGTAAAGGACTGTTATACCCAGTTTACAGATAGAGAATTGAGGCACAGAGGAGGGGTGTGACTTGTCCAAGACCATATGGGTGGTCTGTGGCACAGCAGGGAATGGACTTCAGGGGTTTTTGCAGCTTAGTTTGGTGCTTTAGACACGAGACCATCCTGGTCAGTGCTAGGAAGGACAGTAAAGGAGAGATCGCTCCATGGGGTGCTGTGGGCCTAGAGTGAAATTTGGTCCCAAAAGGTCTCCTACATCATGAAAATGCCTTGCAGCAACTCAAGGAGTGGGGGGAATGAATTCAAGGTCTGGTTGTCAGGGTGATTTTTTTCCCTTGGGGTGGTGATAATGACAGATACTAACCACAGGTTTCCCCCTGAGATCAAGGGTGGGTTATTAGTCATTTCCATTGCATGGTGCTGCTCACGGTAAATAGGGGGTTGTTTTCACTGCATCGTTAGCACCGGCTCTTTGACAGATTTTAGCCCAACCTCCCCTACTATCCACACAGAAAAATCCAGAACCGGGGTTGGAGGTCCCTTAGCCCAGGGTAGCTGACCTAGAGGGGAGTGTGGATTAGAACCTGGGCTCTGCTTTAACTCAGGCTGGAACCCACCCGCTTTCAGTGAGGACACAGGCTAAACCACTCCAGTGCTGATTGGCCTCCGGTGTGTTACCACAATTCCCCCCCGAAGAACAGATACGTTCTCCCACAATCAAGAGGCGAAAAATTACAGCATCTCAGCACAGAGCGCCCTGGGGGACACACACACACACACGGGAACTCCGGTAGTGGTATATAGTGGGGACGCTCCCGCCCAGGGTTGGCTAACCCACACTCACTGTCCAGCACAGACATTCCCCATCCTAAAGATCTTAACACTCTAAATACACAGAGGGTGGGAAAACTAACAGGAGTACAGAGAGGCAAAGGGGCTTGCCCATGCTCGGGGTCAGATTTAGACCTTATGGAGCCCCTAGGCACAGCATCTTCAGTGCCTCCCCCTCTCCCCAGCGCCCCCTGCATAATGCCACCACAACTGCCCAGTGCCCCACCCAGACCCCCCCCACCCCCACACACACCCTTCCCCCACGCCCCACTGCCCAGCACCCCCCAGCCTCCTCACTACCCAGAGCAAGAACTCCCACAAAGACCCCAGAGACTACTCTCCTGCACCCTGCCCCCCAGCAGCACTCACCGGCCCCGCCAGGACCAGAGCAGCGAACTGAAAATTTTTTGCACACAGCTGGGCCTCTGCTGTGTGCTAATTGGGCTGCATATTGAGAACCACTGGCGGATGTATTAACTTTTCAACTTTTAACTCACTTTGGACTTTTAGGCGCCCCTAGAACACTGGCACCCCTTGGCATGTGCCAACTGTGGCTAAATGGAAATCCAGCCCTGCCCACGCTCACCCAGCAGGTAAGCAATAGAACCTGCATTAGAACTCAGGCCCCCTGCTCTATTTCCCTAAAGACGAGAGTGCGGGTGTTCAGTAAAACCCAACGGCATCTCTGTATTTTTGCAATTGCACCTTTTCCCCCCTTCACAACCTTTTGTGAACAGCGGTAGTACTGTAGCAGGAGGTATTAGGGACTTGAACTCTGCCCAGGGGCATAGCCTCAAAGCCGGGGAGGTACCTTCTGGTGGGCCAGTTGAAAGCTGTTTTTCACCTGGCTTTGCAATAATGGTTTAAAGAACCCACTGGGTGCAAGTTTACCGGTTTTCATTAGACAGTGAACAAATGTCCTGCCAGCTGCCCACTGG